CCTCAGCAGAGAAAGCAATGAGTCTACTGGGTTCAATGTCCTCACTTTAGGACTAACGAGGTGGGCTCAATGGAGAATGAGGAAGTTTCAAGACAATTTCCTTCTCCAATTCAAAACAGTGAATCTACATCAACCTATTGGTGCTCCATCACATGTTCACCAATCACTAATATGGTGGCTACACAAGAAATGTATTTTGTTGCAGTGAACACTCCTTCCAATCTCCTAGAGCTTCTTGCAGTACTCAAAGCCCTGAAGCATTTCCAACAACAACTACAACAGAAATGGGTCTGCCAAAGAACACTTCACAGTCTTTCACAAGGATAGAGTGATCTTAAGAACAGTTCCTGAATTTCACCCCAAAGTGACTACAGCATTCCACATGATTGAGGAAATAGTGCTTCCATCGATGCAACCTGAGGTTCAATCCAGTGGAGAAGAAGGTAATCTTTCCTCAATTAATTTGGTTAAATGCCTGAGAATTTATTTAAACAGAACTTTGGCCTAGCGTATTTCTCAAAGACTATTTACCATACCTAATGGTGTCAAGCATCGAAAAAAGCTATCAGTAGATGGATCGTTTCAGCTTTCATACAGGCTTCCAAGGCTTCAGGAGTCCCAGTACCAGAAGGACTTAAAACCCATTCCACAAGGTCTCTTTCTTCCTCTTGGGCAGCAGCTGCTAAAGTGCCCCCAGAAATGATTTGTTAAGCAGCCACTTGGACCTCAACCAACACCTTTATTAGACATTGTCAATTAGATGTGAAGGCTGGTCAATTTGATAAGTTTGGTAAAACTGTTCTGTCTGTCTCTGATATATGTTTGATTACTTGAAATAAGTCACGTTTTGTGTGTGCTAATAAACTTGCATTTGATAATTTTGGAGTATGTGTTTTTTTTATTTCCCTCCCTTGGTTATTGCTTGGGTATTACCCATTGTTGTGCTGCCTTGGATATAGCCAGGAAAAAGGAAAATACTATACTTACCGTAATTTTCTTTTCCTGGTCAAAAGGCCATGGCAGCACAAAGACCCTGGGATATTGCCGGAAACAAGACTGAGGGAGTAGGGGAAGGGGTATATATACCCTTATTTAAATTAGTTCCTCTCTAATTAGGGATAGAGAGGAGCTACACATTGTTGGTGCTGCCATGGCCTATGACCAGGAAAAGAAAATTACGGTAAGTATGAATACATATATATATATATATATTCCCACTAATTTATTTTTGTCTGTTTTTATTTTCAGGCACTAGTGGGACTAGTGGGGCTGCTTGACAGCTCAGGCAGTCATCCCCATTGCTTGGTATTGTGGCCATGTGATCACTTCCCCACCCCAACCCCGACCCAGTCCTCCCCCCCCCCAACTGGGGCTGCGCAGCAGGGAAATCTAGAAGACGCAGGGTTAAATAAATGTAATGCTAATATTTTTTAGTCAAAAACTGCTTGGTAGTTAAGGGGTTAAATCACATATAAGACCCACTAAACTTATTTTGAGTTTGAGTTTGATCCCTTATATCTATATATCTATAACATATGAAAGCAGGAGCCTATCAATCGATTATGAACTATATGAGTATATTTATGCTTCAAGCTCTGGTTTAAAGGCAACTTGGCTTGTAAGTTAAAAATAATAAAAATAAAACTAAGTAAGAAAAAAAAATCAAAAACAAAGAAAATGTACATGCTATTTTATGCTATGCTAAATTACACATATTTGAAAAAATAAATAAAAGGTTTATGGCACAGGAATTTGTGAAAATTAAGAAAAGTCAAATATGGAAAGCAAAATATGTAAATGGAATGGGAAATGTAAGATTGTTTATAATACCTTGGATGTCTGTTGCCTAACAACATGGACAAAATATGCTTTTTCCCTGACTAAATACATTTTTTTATCTAAATCATAAATCCAGACAAGTCAGTTTTGTTATTTTATTTCGCTATCATGAGCCATTTCCCTCTGTACCTTCTCTGCATCCCACAGCACATTAAGTATCTGACACACTAGCTGGTATGCGATAAATCATGTTTCTGCTATGTATCTTATTTAAATGGATGTCTACAGCTTAAATATCTCACCATTAAGAATTTTGACAACAAGAATATGTATTTTTAAATAATAATTAATTGGCAATTACATTGTATCTGTGATTATTTTTATTTTTTTTTAAACCATGAAACAATCACTTTTAAATATAAGTTTCAGACCCCTTGATAAAGACCATGCAGGTATTATATTCCAATTTCAAGGCTCAGATACAACTCTCAGGTTCCTACTGCATACCTTTCAGAATACAAAACGGTACTAGACAGGGTTGCCTCCTGTCTCCAATTCTGAACCTTATTAGGAAGACTAAATCTATTCAGGGAATATCAATTGGCCAAGAAAATTATAGCACTAGCAGCCCACAGGCAAATAGCTTAAAATAGGTTTATGGGTGTCAATATGACTCCCATATTATTATAAGAGATGTTTCAAACCTTCAAGCCATACCATGTGGGAATGTCTACTAAACCATGACAAGCCAATCCCCACCAACGGGCATCAGCTGGATGCTGAAAATTAAATAATCCCTTTTGTGTGTATTACTTTCCCCCCAGTCTCCTTGTGTGTCTCTTACTTCACCCAGTCCCTTTGTGTGTCTCTATCATCCCACAGTCCCTTTGTGTATCTTTTTCTCTCTCCAGCCCCTTTGGGCTTCTCCTTCCCAACTTGCCCCTTTGTGTGTCTTTTCCCCTAGCCTCTTTGTGTGTCACTTTTCCCATTTCCCAGCCTCTTTGGGTGTCTCTTTCTCCCCCTAGTCCCTCTTTGTGTCTATACCTGTAATCCCTTTTTTGTGTCTCTTACTCCACCTGAGATATTTTGTGTCTCTTTCTCCCTAAGACTCTTTGTGTGCCTCTTTCTCCTCCCCATCCTCTTTGTGTGTCTTTGCCCCAGCTCCTTACATATCTATATTTCCTCTTACCCAGACCCAGGCCCAACTGAATTCTAAATATTTGTCTTTACTAAATATGAGAATTCCCATTGCGGTCAGAATATGGTAATTTTTAGATTGTCCCCTTCCCCAGTCCCACTGTGTGTCTTTGTCCCCTTTCCTCAGACCCTCTGTTTGTTTCATTGTCCCCATTCCCATTCCCTATGTATGTGTTTCATTATCCCCTTCCCAGGGCCTTTTTGTGAGTCTCTTTTCCTGTCTTGCATGTATGCATACTTCCGTCCAAGTGGTTTGGCTGTGCGGACCGCTGTCCCCTACCTAGCCTGACAGGTAGCTGCTCCGTGCTCTTACTGTCTACTCCCTAACCACACCAGTGGCCAAGAAGGCATTATTTTATTTTCAGGCCCCACCCAATGCCCAAGGAAGGGGATACTGGAGGGCAGTTACTATGCCCCTTGTATTTTATTAGCAACTGGGCAGCAATAGCTAGTTTTTATTACAGTAGATGCTGGGTCACAGTTTAGTAGACATGGCCCGACCCGTGACATGCTTACTAAATATGAGCATGCATATTGACCCTTATAAGCTTTTTTTTAGAGTTTTTTATTTTTTTATTAATGACTTACAGGGTTAGTCATTATAAGAGGCAGATAAATGTGCTTTTGTTGCGAATATATTGTTGGTTTTATCTCCAACCGCTGACCCGTTTATCGTGTTTGACTGCTCGAATTTCAGCAGTAATGCAGTAGGCCTCTGGTCAATATATAGCGTTTCCCAGTGGAAAACTACAAAATGGCAGGTCAGCTTCCCCTTCATGAGACTCATGCATTGCCATTCGTTTGGAAAAAAAACAGTTAGAGAGTAGGATTGTCTGCAATTTATGCTGGAACTGTAAAAGATGGTGTATATTCACCTCAGTGAACAGGCTATGCCCTGATACTTGTCTTTGTAAATACTTGTAGGGTTATTCACTAAAGTCTGCATGGCCCTGTACCGAGCATGTCAAAACAATCTGTCTGATTGCAAAATCCAAACATTGTTCACGCTTTTTAAACATTTTGCAATCCAGGCACCAAACGGGCCTGAATTAGGTCAAAATCTTAGCTAGTCCTTTAATCTATGTAGCATTCCAAGAAGGCAAATAGTACATCAAATCAGCAATTCAATTGCAAAAAAGCTAATAAATGATAACTTTCAAAAATGAATCCTGATGAATGCATTTGGTTCAGTATTTTCTTAATATTGATGTTTCTGAATCGGATTCGGATGCGAAAACACTGATTTTAATCTGGACACCGAATGCATCCAGGGGATTGCTGCAGATTCACTAGGCCCAACTGAATTCTAACCATATTTGTCTTTACTAAATATGAGAATTCCCATTGCGGTCAGAATATGGTAATTTTTAGATTTTCTCTGGATGTTTAGTGCATTACTCTGGGTGAGTAATTTTTTTTTCATGTGTTATTTAAAAGTGTATTACAAAGTCTGAAACATTTGAAACTCCCTGTTAATTACTCCATAAACATCACAATTACATATTTTTTTCAACTACAATGGCTTTGGTATCCCCTGTTTAGGCCCAGACTGGGGTAAAAATTCAGCACACGTAGTTAAAGGCGAGCAGCCCACTAGAAGGGGGCCAATCAAAGAAAAAAATTGAATCAGCACAACAAACAAGCTAAGAACTTCATTTGTGTATGTTTGGTTTTATTTAAAACATGGCAGAGTGTGTTGGAACGTTATTAAAAAAAGATTATTAATATTAAAACCGAACCTTAGGGACACTTGAGAAAATGTAATGAGACAATTTCCCAATGTCTAGTAACATTAACACTAATTGCACCCATGTGATACACCCATGACTGATATTAACATTATTACCCCCATTTTCCCATTGAACAACAGGATGGAGGCAAGGGGTGGAAACATACTTTGTCCAGTTATTAACTCCTCAAAGGACAATGGGATGTCCAATGTTCTTTGCATACAAATGTTCACATGATGCAAATTCCCATGAGAGAGGAAGTTTCAAAAAAAGGAATGCAAAAAGTAGTACTGGCTAAGATTAGTCGTTCATATTCATGTTATTAAGTGTGTGCATTTTGCTGGGCTAAAAACATGCACAAATTATTTCTCTGGACTCTATGAAAGCCATATGCTAGCAATTAGTACAATTACAATGTTGAATTACTTTTTAAATTGCAAACATAATCAAGATCAAAATGGGGAATTACATTTTAGAAGCATTAACCGCTTTTCTCTTAATAGGTCCTGCTACATTGTGAAGGGAAAAAAAATCAAGAATAGCTTCCAAAAATGTAACCCAACGCAATATACATTTTATTTCTTAAAAAGTGTGTGGTCTTGTTTAAATAAAGCCAAAATCAAACGAAGAGGTCCATTTTACCTAGCTCGACAACATTGTTTTTTAATCCTCAAAAGAATTGAGGGAGGCATTATCGTGCATTGTCTGTGCTTTCAATCACAGTAAAAAAAAATCTGATACTAGTACTAATACAGAGTCTCTGTTCAAATTGTGTAATTGTAGACAATATATTTTCCTATTCATGAAAATTTGACACCATTTGAACTGATTTATTAGATCATCACGGGACAGTTTAACGTGGTAACAACGAATATTACAAATCATTTAAACGGTGCTCACAGGAAGAAAGATATTTAACACAGGAAGGATATTAGTATAAGAGACTGGGCAATTTTTGGCTTTACTGGCTTAAGTGAAGATGTGAATTAATTTATTTTGTTGTCTAGCATTTTTTGCCTTGAAAGTTTTTAGCATAACATTTATTTAACATGGGATGCTTAGCTTACACTTAAATCTAGGATAAAACATCATTGTTGTGTATGGATTGCTGTTCAGAAATACTTGTAAATGTAAAATTCTGTACATTTGCACAACTATATTTATTTACTTATTTGTTCATCCTTTACACACACAGTATATACAAGTCAAATAGACGCGACAAAAGATGTTAAAAGGCTAATATCCTATGGCTATTAGTAAGAAATATTAGTAAGGACAGTGACACTAATTATTTGCACTATACATGAGTTTACAAGCTAAAATAACCCTTTACAAATAGTAATGCATAGTGAGCATGCTTCCCCTTCTTCTTCTCTATGATTCTTAAAATGGACGAAAGAGGTTTCTAATTCAAGTGTGCTTGATATGTGCGAAATGTCCTTATAGTTATGTATAGAGACAGAATAACTGTATAGTCGGAGCTTCAATTCTACACTAAACAGTACGTTAAGTGAGGCTTTGTTGGCTAAGTCTATATATGTTTTATATGTTTTTGTTTTTTTTACATTTTAAAGTTTTTTTTGTATTTAATTTCACAATTCAGTCAGTCCTCTTTCCTTTAGGAATTTTAGAAGAGCATATAATGGGTGTATCTGTCTTACAAATTAGAGCGAATAATGGTTGCCTTAAAGGAACACTATAACATGTTTTCCTAACGCTATAGTGCCCCAGTCCCTATTTAGATTTAGGACAACCCTGTTACCATGTAAATGAATAGTTAAAAAAGGTTTTACCTTTGTCTTTTTCCAGCACCGAGACTCATGCTGCCACCTACTCGAACTCCCACAATATCATTCTAGAGGCAAAGCTTCCTGTCTTCTTGGCCAATCAAGTGCTAAGCATGGAGGAGCACTGTGGATGAGATGCACGTGCACAAGGAGTACAGTCAAATGCTTCTCATAGGGAAATGTTGAATCCAGTGCTTCACTATAAGCTCTATTTGATGACAGTCAACATATTTCTGGACATTATATGTTACATGGCCAAGTGAATCTCCGTGCTGACAGCACAAGCACTTCTAGTGGCAATCAGGAAACTCACAGCAGCTTTCTTGAACCTGTCAATCAAAACATTGTAGTGTCTGTTAAATGTCAATGTTTTAGATTGAAGGGCAAAAAGGACAGGGCCATAGCACCTAGACCACTTCATTGTGATGAAGGGGTTTCGGTGCCTTTAATGATTCTTCAATAAATATCATAGAAATATTGTTTTTTTCCTTATTAAATATTCCAGTCATTGTTTAAGGGTAATGTACTTGATTGTCAAGATTTATTTTACATAATCAGGGTTATTCACTAAACTGAGAATTGCAGGGAATTTAAAGTGAATGCAAAATAATTTTTTACATTTAAGGTCATAATAGCTGAGCTGGACAAATTCTCCCAATCAACTATGTTTCCAGTTCTGCTACTTTTGACTTCAATTTGAAATTCATTTTGAAATCCCTGCAATTCTTACTTTAATTAATAACTCTGATTAAGTTATTTATTTATTCAATATATATTTTGTTTATATATTATGTGCTATGTTAGTTGACTGTTAAATTAACAAAAAAAAGACTCTTGTCAATGATAGAATATCATACAATTTATTGTATTCCTTGTATTGTTATAAACAAGATTATCTGATTTTTTTACTTGCCATTTTCTTACATGCATGATGCAGGTTTTACAGTAACCAAAACATTGCTGCTGTAGAGACTCCAATAAACATTTAGAAATCCATTATATAGCATTGTCTGTTTGGACCTTACTAGATGACCATATCCTTTGTATCCCTAACGTTTAACTTGCTAAAGGTTTTTTATAAAATCTCAGTGTTGGATTATAAAGTCCAGTTGGCAATTATTTTCTGTTTAAGAAACAGTAGTGCTGGTACACTTTATATACTTTTTTGCTTTTCTTGCTCTGATTTGTGTAATTTTATGGTGATCACATAAAATCCGTACCCACTCATTTAATCGTAATGAGATACATGTACCTTGTCTTTTTGCACTTTGTTATACAATGTTGGCAAAATTTCATTCACAAATGAAAATGTTGATGGAAGGAGTAGGTTTGTCTCAACAAATGTTTTATCCTTCTTAATGTTCATATCTTCATTCTGAACATGCTCTTCAAATACCATGGCTTTCTGATTGCTATCTCCTCTGACACTTGATAATTTTATATAATATAGACTAAACTGCAACTGTCTATAAATCAATCTGAATGCAAGGTTATAATTATACAAAAACTATGAACATTGAAAGTGTTACAGATTATGGTGTTGTATGGCTCCCTGGAGATGCAATAATGTTTAAAATACATTGGAAAATTATCAAACATGTCCAGTTATTACTCAATAATATTAAGAAAGAGAGTGTGAATTGATACTTTTGGTACTGTCATGTATTACTGAATGACAGTTTGTATTAGTCGATGTTACCCTTTTACTACCAGGATATATTCATTGGGAAACATTTGCACATATATTAAAAACAACTAAAAAAAATAATAATACAAAAAACATACTGTAGCACTCTTAAATGTATTGTGATATTAAATATACCAAATGCGATAATAAATATGCACAAAATCAAATTAAAATAAGACATATCGCCAGATTCACTTGTTATACATGTCTTCAATTTCCTTCAGATTTAAATTACCTATCCTCTTCTGATCTCTCCCCGTCCCTCTTGACTAGTGTCTCTCAGTGCCTCTCTGCTGTTTCTAACTGGATGGCTGCCCACTTCCTTAAACTAAACTTGACCAAAACTGAAATTCTGGTCTTTCCTCCCTCAAATGTTGTTACTCCTGTGTCTGTCTCCCTCCAAGTCAGCGGTGCTACCATCAGCTCCACCACACAGGCTCGTTGCCTAGGTGTTCTCTTTGACTCCGACCTCTCCTTCAAGCCTCATGTTCAATCTATCGCCAAATCCTGGCATTTGTAAAAAACATTGCGCACATCCGCCCCTACTTAACGCCAGATGCGACTACGGTGTTGGTCCATTCCACTGTCCTTTCTTGCCTTGACTACTGTAATCCGCTTATCAGTGGTCTTACGTGCTCCCAACTAGCGCCATTACAGTCCATTATGAATGCGGCGGCGAGGCTCATCTTCCTGTGCGCACGCACCTCCCATGCCTCACCCTTCTGTCAATCCCTACATTGGCTTGCTATAAAATATAGAGCTCAATTTAAAATTCTGGTTCTTGCTTTCAAATCTCTACATAATGCTGCTCCCACCTATGTATCCTCCCTTATGCACAAGTATGTCCCGTCTAGGCCCTTACATTCTGCTGAAGACTTATGTCTATCTTCTGTCCGTACTCCCACCTCTGATGCTCGCCTTCAAGATTTCTCGAGGGCTGCGAGGTTCATGTGCAACTTGCTTCCCTCCTCCGTTAGATGCTCACCCAGTCTCCATTCCTTCAAAAAAAATCGCTAAAAACCCACTTCTTCATAAAAGCGTATCCATTAAACTGTTAATAGCGCCTGACTGATTCCTCTTCTGCAACTGTCATTAGTCTAATACTATCCTAACCTTTTTGTGTCATTTTACCCCACTCCCTCTAGCATGTAAGCTCATTGAGCAGGGCCCTCAACCCCTCTGTTCCTGTGTGTCCAACTTGTCTAGTTACAACTACATGTCTGTTCGTCCACCCATTGTAAAGCGCTGCGGAATTTGACGGCGCTCTATAAATATCATAATAATAATAATAATAGAAACTAGACCAGATACCACAATAAGTAAATCTAATATATAGGTGTGCAATCGAAATTTAAACCCAACAGTGTGAGTGTAGATTAAAAGTCAATATGGATAAATGACCAAATGTTTCCAACTAAAAAGGAAACAATCTTGCTACCCATGAGTGTCACAAAACACAGTTATATAGTGAGTAGTATAAAATATACTTGCACAGAGATTGATATTATGATTTTAATGATCTAAAATACATAAAAACAGAGAGAAATTTAGTGCAGCATTGTAGTACACAGAAATTATATATAAAACTCTCTTAAAAATAAACTCCCAAATATGGAGTGGTTGAAGTACCACTCCAAACTATTGAGCCTAAGGGTGATCAGACTCCCGTGTGCGCTGGATCCAAATGATGAAAATATGTGGACTCACCACCAGCTGAACGATAAATCGATACTTTATTCCAAATGTATAAAAAATAAAAAAGCATGGAAGTTAGGCTCTCAGTACTGTGGTGTATATAGTCTCTGGCTCTGTATGATGCCTTCCGAGTGCACTCTTTCTTCACTGCATCAGCCAGGATTTCTCTGACTCCACCACAGTGTGTCTCCAAGTATACTTCCATGGCTGTTTTTTAATGTATTTTATTATCTGTTATTAAAGGAATATTGGCCCCTAATATTGTGCTTGTGCCATATACCTTTATTTTTATTTATTTTTTATAATTTGTTTATTTCGTTTTTCTTATATAAACGTACAAGACATTATCATCG